AAATGCTATTTCTTGGTCAACTTGAATATTTGTCTTTTGAACCTTTTATTCACGGGTATTTCCTCAGTGAATGGGCCACAACCTGTTTAGTTCCAATAAAATTTCTTCGATTCTGTTTTTAAAATTCCTCATCCTCAATTCCATTATCTGGCTGCTAAGTATATTGGGATTTCCACGACTAAGTTCTTCCAGGTATTGACATTACTCACTTTCGATTGATCTTAACTTCTTGTTTACCGATGTGGTTGAATGCCGACGTGAATTTCAAATTTTGATTTTCAGAAAATAGAATTAAAATCAAGCCGTTCTACGTTAATATTCCCTTCATAAACTTTTTGGGATGCAACCATATTCTCAAAAATTAAAATTATGTTTTTGTTAAGAGTAATTTATGCAATTTATATAATTAGTTGTGGTTATGCTAAATTTGCACATTAGTAAGTCTTAACTGTATAAATTAGATGTCTTTTTAAATTAATATTCCAAAAAAGATTTAAATTTTACCTATAGGGTTGACTTGCGTCATGAGTATGAAATGTAGGTTTAAGTTGTGGGAGTAAAAAAATTAGTTCTGTGGTAAATTTTCTTTTAATAATTATTTAGGATATAATATTTAATCACCATATGACAATTAAAAAGTAAAATTTTATTTCTGTTGGAGTAGAATCGTGCGTTTTACAGTTAATTAGGTGTGGTTTTACAAAATTTGCAAATTAATAAGCCTTAGTGCCTTACACCTCTGATGCACGGACTCTTCGAAATAGTTGGAGTAACCGTGTCGGACACGACATGACATGGGTATGGGTATGGGATATGTGTCGGATCCTTTAAGTTTCAATCAAACACTTCGTCGTTTTTGCTTCTTCTTCTTCTTCCTTCTTCTTATTTTTCTTTTCCCTTTCTTTCCCTTTTCTTTTCTCTCACTTTTTCTCTCTATAATCGTCGTCGAGAGTGTGGAGAAAGGCGGCGGCGCTAAGTTTTACCTTCTTTTTCTTCTTCTTTCTTTTTCTTTCCATTTTCTTCTTTTTTTTCTCCTTTCTCTCTCGGCTTAGGGTTTTGTTTGTATAAAATGAAAATGGATTCCATGTAGTGCTACTTAGTGCTCCACTAAGTCCAAATTATAATCAGGTTTTTCATTTTCTATTTTATATAATATTTAGTAATTCCCATAATTGAAAACTAAATTCCAAAATTCTATTTTATTCGTCTTAACCCCTTATTAAATACCAATTTCCTTCATTGTGAATAATTAATTTTGGTCTATTCAAAATGACATCTTAGATTAGTAAAAAAATTGAAGTTTGAAAGACGTACACGTGTTCGAAATTTGGACTATTTTTAGCCATGTTCCCATATCCTACATTTTAGAAANAAATTTGAACTCTTTTTAGCTATATCCCCGTATTCTATATTTTAAAATATTAAAGATCCGACATTTAGATACGTACCCGTACCCGATATCCGTACCCGAGTCCGAGCACCATAGCCTTACAGTACAAATTAGATGCACTTTTGAACTAATACTGCAAAAAATATCTAAATTTATTTGTAGGGTTGAACCCCAACTAGAACACGAAATTATGGGTTTTAGACATTTAATGAAGTTGTGATAATGGAAAAGTAAAATTGTGTTGCCCGTTAGATTAAATTGGTGTATTTTACTGTTAATCAGTTGTGTTTATACTAAATAAGCCTTACTGTGTAAATTAGATGCATTTTTGAACTAATATTGCAAAAGGGACTTTTATTTGTATCCCAATGCGAATATGAAATTATGGGTTTTAGTTAGGTATAAACTTGCTTCCTGTTGGTTAATTTGGCTGAGATTTTGCAGTCTTCATGGACCTGAATGATCTTAACAAGGTCTGGGAAGTCGAACCTCTAAAGAAGGAACGGGAAGCTGAGGCAAAGGAAATTCTTGAAAAAATAGCAAAGCAAGTGCAACCAATTATGAGGAAAAGAAAGTGGAGAGTCAAGATCCTTTCTGAATTTTGGTATGAACGAGTATTCATTTTACTTACTATTCATTTTAAATTTTGCCTTTGTTCGCCCAATTCAATATTCTCATCTAGATACTGAATTTGCAGTCCGCCCAATCCATCTCTTTTAGGGCTGAACATTGGAGGAGGTGCTGAGGTTAGGCTTAGACTCCGGAGGCCAAACAATGAGTGGGATTTCTTCCCTTATGAGCAGATTCTTGATACTATGCTTCATGAACTCTGCCACATTGAACACGGTCCTCATAATGCTGATTTCTACAACCTTTTGGATGAAATTAGGAAGGTTATAAACTTAGCTTAAGTCATATTTTGAAAATTTTGTGAGTAATTTGTAGGTATCCTTTTTTATTACCTTATTCATAGATGGAAGGTCATCCAATGGACCTTTATATTGTCTCCTAGATCACTATTGTCTAATGAATGAATTTGGTTACTCGGAATTTCACAATCTGCTCTGGTTTATACAGCGATCTGGTATGGATAGTTTTCTTCTCTGTTTCACAAGGCACTCACTTTTTGACTGACAAAAGTTTCCATATTCTGTAGGAATGTGAAGAACTTATTGCCAAAGGCATTACTGGCACTGGGCAAGGATTTGATGTTCCTGGGAGACGATTGGGTGGATTTTCCCGTCAACCTCCTTTACCTGTATTGCGGCAGAAAGCACTGGCTGCTGCAGAAAACAGAGCAAAACGTGAAGCTTTGTTGACCCATGGGCCTAAGCGTCTTGGTGGTGATAGCAGCATTAGAGCTGTACTCAGTCCAGTTCAAGCAGCTGCTATGGCTGCCGAACGAAGATTACACGATGATATATGGTGTGGATCCAAATCATCAGAGAGTGGTGTATCAACTGGAGACTCCAAAGTATCTGCTGTACAAAATGATAGATTTGTCCAAACTTCAACCACTGGATCTGTATCACAGGGAATGAAAGATGTCGAACTAATGTGGCAGTGCTCCTTGTGTACCTTACTAAATCAGGTAATGTTTCTCTGCTTCGTTTGTCAATTTTATTCTATCTAATCTGGCTTTTGCTTTCTGCAAGATTCTTTAATTTCTATCCTTTTAATCTATACGAGTATGTTGGTTTTTTTTGTTTTTTTTCAAAGCTTTATTTATAAAATGACCTGTCCATCATGTCAACTGTGTCGACATTTGGCTTATATGATACAAGTTTATCCTTGTACGTGTTCTTTAACTTCATGAGATTCTGAATGCAGTATAATATCGTCCATTGAGATTCTGATGACAAATACAATTGAACTAGAACGTTATTGAGAGAGAAAAGAGAAGAGAAAGAGAAGAAGAGAGAGAGAGAGAGAGAGAGAGAGAGAGAGGAAAAGGAGAGAATACAAAGAATTTAGGGAGAGAATATTAATTTTATTGCATATCAAAGTTGTCTTATAATAAAATATAAGCCCCTTCTATATATGGTGTTAATGAACCTTTTTTGGTATGAAAACATCTAATAAATTCTAGAGAATCTATCAAATTTAGATAAGAAACAACTATTAATTTACTGAAGTATCTAATAAATTACTAGAGAATCTAAGACCTTGCTTGGTAGAGATTAAAATCAAATTTTCAACAAATTTTGATAAAAGTTGATGGGATGTATGGTTGAAAAGTAGTAGGTCCTGTGAACGATCTTTCCTTTTAACTAAATAGTGACAAAAAACTCTAAAAAGTAACACTTGTGCAACACATCCACAAAAACTACCACATAATTCAGGAGACGAGCATGACGCACTAGCATGGGAGACTGACCTTTAAAAACAATTGCTTGCAACACTCGTAGATTGAATTTGTCCCGACAAAGAAACAATTTTGTTGTATTGAAAATAAAACATTCATTTAAGTGTGATGGCAAATCAAATAGATTAATTTCAAGTGCGTGATCCAAAAACTTTTGCTGTACATATTTAAAAAATCATGCCAAAAAAATACATAAGAAAGCATATGAACTATCATGAAAGCATCTCTGCCTAAATTGTGCATCAAAAGCAAGCTCATAACTTTCATTATTCAAATAAATTATGCGTTTTATCTTAGCATGGAAATTAGGAAAAGGGATAATGTTGGATGGAGCTAAAAGAATATGACAATAATTAGTTGGCAACAATCGAAAATCGATATGAGTAGTATGCGATCTAACAATGGTCCTAGAAAACAACATGATAATCCGAGAAGTATCATGTAGTTGAGGTAATGCCACAACAAAGTCAATGTCAAAGTCCCGCAAAGGAGTAGACTATCACAATTTCGGCATGAAGTCGAGGACAAGTGGACTGTTTTGTTTAGGTGGCAACACCATAGGTAATTCTAGATAATTCCCAATCCCTGCTATCCAGATATTCAATAGGTTCTACAATATAAACCTGTATTTCTTTCTTATGATGAGGAATAACACTACTAGACCCGGGAAGTGACTGTTGGAATTGGGGTGGTAGGCCTAGCATATAACATGCTTGGAGAGATGATAAGATATGTCTCATAGGTTGGCCTGTTGGTGAGCTTCATCTAATGATTAGGGCGTGAGATTGTCATGACGCTTAATTTCAAGATTCAAATCATTGAGAAACCTAGACGTCATGATGAGCGAAGCTTCATAAATATCACAATTATTTAATAGTTCTTTGAAAAGCCGACATTCCTTACCTACAAAGCAAAAAGAATTGATATAACAAATAAGTTAGATAATACACATCGACATATTTATTACTTAATATTCATTTCATTTCATCACACAAAGTGATAATGTGTTGACCTAGACGATCAATATTACAGAAAATGACTTTTAATACCACCTAGTAGATCCGATAAATGCATACTAGCATGACAAATATGATGAGAGTCACTCATGTTGAGAAAGAAAGAGTTTTTCCAGAGCATTGATCCAATAAAAAATGACTTAGGACCAACGAGATCATCAAAGTCCTATGATTGTATTATAACTCACCAAGAAGTATAATGAACGTCGCCCATGTAGTTTCTACACGGGGGATAGTTGTATTGATAAGGGGAAGGAAAATGTTATGCACATTATTGTGAAAACAACCTAAGGGTTTGGTGTAGTTATAAAAGTTGTTATAAGAGTTATACTTAGCCCTTGTTAGTAGGGATTAAAATCAAAATTTTAGTAGATTTTGATAAAGGTAGATGAAATGTGTGGTTGAGATGTTTTGGGCCCATAAAATGTGTGGTTAAAATTAGTTGTTGATTTTGACTTAGATTAAAACCTGAATTTTAATTTTTTTTTGATAGGTAAAACCTGAATTTTAATTTTTACCAAACAAGGGGCTTAGTGTTGAGTGGAGTGTTGAGACAAAGTAAGTTATTATTATATTTTTAAGATCAAAATGACTAGCCAAACACTTTAACCAAAGTAATATTGTTAAGATAGCAAAAAATTTACCTAGCAGCTAATATGGAGCCAACCGTAGGTAAAATTGTTGTGCCTATACTTTTCTTGTGTTTGAATCTGGTTTGTTGTGGAAATCTGTTGTGTTGCAAATGGAAAAACGGTTGGTTGAGGGTGGTTATGGATGTGGAGGATGGTGAAGGCTGTGGTCAGGTATTATGTGAATGAATTTTTGCGTGGATTTTTTTGGATGATGGTGACATTATAACACCTATCAAAACTTCGCGAATTTGTTTGGCCAAAGAAATACGACTTGCTAAGCCCCATTTATATAAAGTTTCAAATAAACTATTCTTAGTAGGAAACATCTAACAAAATTCTAGTGAATCTAACATTATACTAGAGAATCTATCAAATTTAGTAAAGAAACAACTATTAAAATATTAGAGAATCTATTAAAAAATATTAGAGAGTATTAAAAATTACTTGCCAACCTTTTTTCTTTTATTTATTTCTTTATATTCATTTTTGCCCTTTTTGCCATTGAAAACTAAGAACACTAACGACAAAATTAGGGGGTGTTTGACACCCATTTTAGTAGAAAAATGTGTTTTTGAATAGTGATTGATAGAAGAATATGTGGTTAAAAAGTAAAGAGAATTTTTAGGTTTATGTGTAATATTATTTTATTGATAGAATGTATGGTTGAAATGAAGAAAGAGAAAAAGAATGAGAATGAGAAAAAAATGGGTGTCAAACGAGGGCTTAATCTAATCCAAAATTCAATTTAACCGATGGAGTCCTAACGATAGCAAAGAAGAGAAAAAAGAAAAATTCTGATGAACAATCTTTGTTTCATTTTTTCATATTTTTTTCTTGTTGATTGCTGTTGCCCTTGTACTTTTCTTGTGTTTGAATTTGGTCTATTGTGGAAATTTTTTGTATTGCAAAGGGAAAAACGGTTAGTTGAGGGTGGTTATGGATGTGGAGGTTGGTAGAGGCCATTTCCAGGTATTATGTTAATGAATGTTGGCGTGGATTTGTTTCGAGGATGGTGACATTAAATTTTTGAACTTGGAACACCTATCAAAATTTCACGAATTTTTTTGACCAAAGCAATCGACTTGTTCTGATACTAAATAGATATCGAACATGATTGAACAAGAACGAGATAGAGAAAGAAAGAGGAAGAGAGGAGAGAGAGAGAGAGTATAACGACCGAGAAATTTTAAATAATATAAAATTATTTTATTGAAAAGCGTGTTGCTAAGTTTTAACCCCAAATTTTAAATTGAACGCGTGTTCGTCTAGCCGTTGTAAAACCAATTTAAAACTATT